TAGCCCTTTATTGTATTCCAAATCTGGATGTTTATATGGGAAGTCCTGCTTGCAATCTCAGGGTATATTAGATGCCCAATCTATGCTAGACAGGACTGGTAACTGTTGTATTTACTTGCAGTAATTTGCGCTTTGATTGTTTCCTTTTTTCCTTTCTACGCATGCTTAAACATACATAATGTTCTCTTTGGTTCTGCAATGATTCCTTTTATCTCCCTAAAAAGCTTTTAGTTCCCACATATGTATAGTCACTTCAAAATAGAAGTTAGCAGCAGGATTCTGTTCTTCAAGGTATCGTAGTGACAGTTCTATCCATGAACTGTAAACATAAGGGCTAAACTTCCTTACTGCCTATTTGATAGCACATGAAAGCTAGAAATTATAATTAATTTCATCTGTTTGTACAGTAAAAGGAAAAGTGATATCCAAGTAACAAGAGGTCTTCTATTTTTGTATGCAAAAGTTTGGCCAACCTCTGATAAAATGGTATATTCCAATGAATCCTAAGTCAGCAGAAGCGGACACAACCTCTATACAGTACAAATTTAAACGTGACCTCTTTCTGCAAACTTGAATGCATACTTATGATTTATCCAGGGTTTTTATAAATTCAAAAGAAAAATAAACAGTGAATATGGCATATACAGAAGTTTGTACACTCTTTCGGTCAGTACTTTGTAACATCTCTTTTGGCAGGAAACACAACTTGCAGACTTTTTCTGTAGCCAGTTAAGTCTTTTTATTATTGCTTTTGGATTCCCCTGTTTCTTGCAAAATTCTCTAGTTCAGACATATTTTTAGGTCTTCTTATATGCACTGCATATTTGAGATCTCCTGACAGTTTTTCAATGGTATTCAACTTTGGGGACTCTGAAGGCCATGCCTTCCATCTTCCTTTCTCCTAAATACTTCATGACTGATTTAGAGGTATGTTTCAGACTTACTGAAATATCTAACCTCTTTTCAGCTTCAATTTCTGAAGAAGATTAGCTCTTGAAGAAAGACTGTCCTCTTACAGGAATTCCTGTTCAGTTTCAGAAAAAGCTGTTATTTCTGACCAAGGAGGTATTAGAAAGTACTGACGAAAAGGGCATCCACATTTTTGCATCTGCCATATTCATTGTTTTCTTCTTTTGAATCTACAGCTAACTGCACATAAATGCTAAGTGTGCATTCAGATTTCCAGAAAGATGCCATGTAACTCTGTACTATATAGAGGTTGTATCAGTTTCTGTTCATTTGGGGATTAACTGAAACACATAATTTGACCAAAGATGCTTAAACTTATACATATAATTGTAAATGGGGTGGGCGTGTGTGAGACAGAGAAAGCAAGAGAAAATCTGAAGGGTGTATCTATTCCATTCCACTGCAGGCCATAATAAATAATGATTAATTGGCTAGTAAAGTACACAATGTGACACATTCTCAGGCCTCTGTTTTAATCCCAGCTTTTCCATAATGGCTAGACAAACAGCCACCCATATATAAATGAATTGTGACCACTACTCAGGGAAATTATTTTTATGCAATTTAGGGAATGATGAATAGCAAATTCTACTCTACACAGTCGTTTAAAAATACTTAATAGAAAAGGAAAATTCAATAAAAGCTTTAGCTGACAAGATCTTGCTTTCCTGTTTGCAAATAAATATTTGTTTCTGAATCAGAGCAAGGTCAGGAGGACTAGGTAGGATTTTATGTGGTAAATACAGCCAAGCAGGCAGCTTCTGACATTCTGAGAACACACTGCTGATGCTTTTTTTTTAAAAAGGCTATCACTGCAAGGGTGCTTGCCTATTTGCAGAAGAGTTGCCTGGAGTGCCAGCCAGCCACATGGCAACTGCTTGAAGAAATGTGCTCCTTTCCCCAGGTTGCTCTCTACTCTGCAACTTATCTTTGCCTTCTTTTCAGGGCAGACGGGCACATTTCCAAGCTGTAGCAACTGACTGTTGCTGCTTTCCAAGAATGACTATGTTGCTTATGTGGAGGAGACCAGAACACTTTGCAGCATGCTGCCCTCTTATTTTATTTAATTAAGAAGCAAACAAAAAAGCAAAGCAGATGTGGAAGCAACCTTCGTGGTTGCCCAGGGAAATTACAATTGAGAGATGTTGCCTATCCCTAGAACAGGAGTTTAGCTCTATATTTTCTCTCAACAGATACCTAAAGCGGATTAATTTTATATAAATCTATCATTGAGCCTCCCTTCAAGTCTGGTTTGCTCTAGACTAATACTACACCAGATTTTTTTAAAAAATAATTTTTATTGCCTTTAAAAAAAAAGACAAACTAAAAAAAGAGAAGAGAAATATTTAAAGAAGTTACTTCCGATCTTCACAACAACTATAAACAGTGATTCTTCACCCCCTAAAAGATTACATGTAAGTATTTCGTCTTCTCATAACCCATCCCTTATCCATACGCAAATCCATAAATCATTAAGATTTCAATCCTGGTGTCAACAAAAAGTTCATAAAGGGTTCTCAGTTTTATAGAAACATGTCTTATTTTAATCTTGGTCAAACAAACCAACTTTGTACTGCTTCCTGTTGCTTCCAACAATCTTGATCTTTAATTCATTCAGATGCTGTCACAAGATTTGATCTCTCTTCAGTTTTTCTTTTCCCATCTCAAAGTCTTCTTCAAGGCTTTAGCAAACCTCTTTTGTAAATGCAGTAAGGAGTCATTATCCAGGTCATTCTCTTGGCTCATCATTTGTATTTCCAGTTTAACTGTCAGCTCTGTTTTATAATCCACATTTTTTAAAATTTTCCAGTATTTCAACAATTTCTTTATATTCTAATATTTCTGCATCAGATGAGGTTTGTTTCAGTCTTTATCCAGAAAAAGAGAGAGAGAGACTTGCTTTTTGTCTTCAAACCTCTTTTGTAAATGCAGTAAGGAGTCATTATCCAGGTCATTCTCTTGGCTCATCATTTGTATTTCCAGTTTAACTGTCAGCTCTGTTTTATAATCCACATTTTTTAAAATTTTCCAGTATTTCAACAATTTCTTTATATTCTAATATTTCTGCATCAGATGAGGTTTGTTTCAGTCTTTATCCTGTACATCTTCCAGGGTATTCTCTTCATATCTGCCATTTCTTCTTTAACATATTTTGGAAATAATCTATCCATAGAAGCAGATATCATTGCTGATATTGTAGCTGCTAGTTTCTGTCCCCATTCTTCAAAAATCTCCTGGACTATTTCAAATGTCATACCATTTTCTGTCATTTTGTCCCAATGCTGACCAAAGACAAAAAGCAAGTCTCTCTCTCTCTTTTTCTTTTTCCTTTTATGCCTGAAATCTTTAGTCCCCTCTAGTGTCCAATTTCTGAAATCATGAGATCTCAGATTTCTGTTATGACTTCAGGAAGACTAAACAATTTAGTTCCCATGAAAGTGCTATTTATATAATTATTTCCAAAATCTTATAGCAAAAGTCCTAATATTCCAAATTCGTCTGGTCCCTTAATTCATTTATATTTTCTTGAATTAATGTCTTATTTAGCTTTTTGCTGTTTATTTCAAATTCTTTAAATTCTTAAGCTTATAGTTATTTTTTTTTTATTCTGGAATGAAGGTGAACTCACCAGGTGGTGTTGCAAAGTTGTCATTTTGAAGATGTCTATTAGGCTTAAGATAATTAAATAGGTAATTTCGAAAGTGATTAGAAAGTGAGGTTAGTCAACCCAGTGTCCTTAAAAAGGCTCTGCCATCGTCAAGAGTGTGTTGGCTTCCCTTTGTCTCCTGGTGCTCAAACCTGTGGAAAACTGCTGTTATGTGGTCTCCTCATGAGGAGCAGCCATCTGGAAAGAGCACAAGTGGGAGATCTCTCATTTTCTCCTTATCCAGAGAGGTTCCATGGGACCGGTCTACTCACCAGTCCTTCAGTCATGGCCATGACATCATCTCCACTCATTTGGAGACACGCCAGCTCACCATCTGTCATCCAGAAGTCCAATACTACACCAGCTTTCTAAGATCACATGACACTTCATCAAGCCTTTGACGTGAAACTTTTTTAGGTTTGCAAGAAACTGAATCTGGGATACTACATATGCAAAATATGACTTTCGACTGAATTATATGCTTTAACCAAATTATTTAAACCAAGGAAATATATACTGTACAGTGATGTGCTGCAGCCAGCTTGTACCACCTCATGAGAGCTGATTGTTAAATTTCTTGGAATTTTGCACGCTGAATTAGTCATGACACCTAGCAGTGGCAGCAATGGAGCCGGCAAAGCTGACTGTCATACATTTACCAGCACACTACGGTATACCAGTGAAAGAAAGATGCACAACTTCTTTGCATTAGCTGTAATATATGTTTAGTGAAAAAACTTTATTTCAGCAGAGAAATTCTGAACCTCTTGAGTATCTCTAGTTAAGTATCTGTAGATCTGTGTCATCTTACCAGATGTAGATATAGTTTTCAATCCTTACAATTCTATTTGTTAAACTATATAAATACCACCTTTGGACTAGTCACCAATTTATTCAACTCTACTAAACATCCTGGAGATTGCAAACTTAGTTTCCACTTTTAAACAAAACAACTCCACTGCTGAAATTTTAAATAGCTGCAAAACACTGAAAATAAAATGCAATATGAAACTGAGCTTTAGGACTCAACAACTGAATGTATGTGCTGCCTTTGTAAAAATATGGATGCATCAATGGTGCTAATAAAAATGAAATGATACCAGTGTTTTTGCAACCCAATGTATGATTCTATATTTGTGAAATAAACACAACTGCAATTTGGCAGCATTCAATCCAAATATGTTTTATATAACACAATAAATTGAACAAAACGTATTTCAAATACTTTAAAAAAAGCAAATATTATAATTACTCCAAACTGAATTGAATAGCTACACTAATTCCAAACTCATTATTCTACTTGTTAAAGTGATTACTATGAATAATAGCACATTCATTTTCCTAAGTACTTTACAAAAATAATAAACATGGTGCATATATTTACCGTTATCTTTGTTGCTATTTTCTTCAATTGTCATTTGTTCAGCCAGTTCAGAAAGTGACTCATCAATAGTCTGGCTCCCACGCAGTGTTAGAGAAAGTCTTCTCTTAAACTTTTTCATTCTACCAGCTGTAAGCCTGGCTTGAGAAAGCCTATTAAAAAAAAAGTGCAAATTGGTATTTATTTTGGTTTAAAGGAATTATTATTATTATTATTATTATTATTATTAAACATTTATATGCCACTTGACTTTCAGCAACTCATTGCAGCTAAGAGGAAACTATTTCCATAATCAGGAAAAATATATTTGTTGTTGCCTTTACATATCAATGTGTATTTCATAAGAAAAAGCCATTTTAATGGAACAGGTAAGATCTGAAATAAAGAATCTGGAAATGATCAATATTATTGAAATTCTGACTGTTTAAAAGAACTAAACACACAACAACAATTGCTTAATGAAGATAGAACTCGACTATGGTTAATATATTTGCAAATAACTGGAAAAGTAAAAAGTGATGTCAAAGATACTCTGAGAAAGATAACAGAATTTGAAATATTTATACAGTATAATTTATTAGGATGTATTTACAATTGTTACTTAAATATGATATGGAGACAGAATAAATTAAAATTGTATGATAAAATGTATGCAAAACTTTGAAGAAATAATAAAAATGGGCAATGGGCAAAACAATGGAAAAAAATCAGTAAAATTTACACCAAGCTACAATTTGAGGGAAAATTAGTACAAAATGTTCTACAGATGGTATATAACTCTGTCAATGATTGTCAAGATGGACAAATCGTACAACAATAAACGTTACAATGCCACAACGAAGAAGGAACATTTTACCATATGTGGTGGTTACATATAACTCAGAGAACACACCAAAACATACAGAAAATTCTGAAAATAAAATCTGAATTAAAACCACAAATATTTTTATTAGGTCTGATCCCAGAGAATATAAACGAAAAGTATCACAATTTATTAAGATACATGCTGACACTGGCAAGAATCAATCTGGCACAACAAAAGTAAAATTTCAGAAAGAATACAAAAAGGGTGGTGGCAGGACAAAAATGGGTGTCCCAACTCACTTTTTTCTCTGCTCCTTGTTACTGTTTGCTTCAGCATCCCCTCAAATTATCCTGAAGAAATGCAGTTCTTGATAGCCACAAGACTGTCTACCTCTGCCCTAACTTTTATAAAAGCCTTATCTTTTGCCTGCTGCTTTCATGCTATCATTACCTCATACTGAAGAAGCACTGCGGTTTAGTACAGTAGTGCTAAACCCCAATGAAAATACTAATCTCTTCTAAATATGTCAAAATCTACTCCACTTCAGTGTCACATATATTTGCCTAATATACAATTCCATTGAACTTGCTGCTTTTATTGTTATCCACAATCTCTCCCTAACAAGCACAGTTTTGTACATAACTTTCTCAAGTGCATATTGCTTTATAGAAACACTGTGAAACATGAATGACAGACACAAGTGGATACTATGTACATTACTGTTACATGTGCCATGATGGATTCCATTTTGGTGGATCATGCAATTTTTTGCTCTAAAAGAGATTTCTTTTACATCCCTTTCTATTTCCTGGCCAACTCCCAGCATGAAATGCTAGCAGAAACAAAAAGCAAGCCCACACACAATTTTTATGGATTGCAGCCTGAGCTGCATTTAATCATCAATCTGTAAGAGACTATGAGTCAGTGCACTTCTAGAAAAGTACTTGGCTTCTACATTGCTTCCAGTTTCTTTATTTAACTAGCTGTCAAAAGTTAACAGTAGAGTCAAGTAAATCTTAGCTGTTAAACTTCTATCAGAAGACAGTTGTTATGTTAAATTTTAAAAATCCACAGCTAGCCTTGTATTTTCAGAAAGATAAATACAATCATTTCAACAAGGAAAGACAGCAACATCCACACAGAATTATATATAATTTGATTTTTCTATCTTTCATTATGTAAGAAATCACATTTTGTCTAACCTTTTTGGTTGCCATAGCATTTAGTTTTCAAATGCTAATCAAAATGTATTAGAATTTTTAATAAATTGTATCAGGAACAATCAAGAGAAGATAGATGCTGCCAACAGAGTTCATTGTAGTTCAAAAACTCTGTATCAAATAACAGAGTTTGCTTACCACTTCAACTGCTTGGTTCTACATCTTCCGTATTAGCATATCCATAATTGTTTACATCAATCAAAAAATCAAAATGATAAATGGACAATCTTAAACATTCCTGAATGACACTCAAATCTGTGATAAATAAATGTCAGTCAGGTAATTAACACAGAGGTCCTTGAAAGGACAATAAAATTAGGCCTATTAGTGTCTGTAATTCTCATCTATAGTCTCATTCTATAATGAATGTAGACTATAGACTCATTCCATGATGAATGAGAAAAGAATAATCTAATCAATAATTGAAAGCTAGATGTCTGTATAATGTGTCAAGAAATGGTTGGCGTCAGCAACAGAACACTGGAAAACACCTTACAGATACAGATTTCTGATGATGTCACAGTTCCAATAGAGTATGGTAATTCTTTCCAATAAGAAATTATTTATAACTGCTTACTGACAAGTTATTCTTTGGAACTCATGAGAAATGAATGTATGCATTTCCAATTTCTACAAATGCAGGCTACAAAATCTACACATTTTCTTACATGTTAAATGCAAACTTCAATTTATTGAAAATGGTTTTCTGTGTTTCTCTTGACTTTCCACTTAAGCTGCATGTCTTAATGCTCATTCAGGGTTAGTTTGAAAGCAGCCTAAAGAGAAGATGCAATAGGGGAACAGGTATAAGAAAGCCACCCAGAAAAGCAATTCCTGGACCTAAACCATAGCATCTGATAGGGAAAACTAAATTATATTTGATGAAGAAGGAGCACAATCATTCATTCCTTGTTAGAAGAATCAGAACATGCAACATGTCAATTGGAGAAAAAGAAATAGAAGGAAAGAAATGGAGAAAAAATGGTCTGCTGCTACATTTGGAAAGGAGGCATATTTGTTCCAATGCTTTCCTAGATCCTTTCCTTAATAAGGTGAACTAACTTTGATTTGTAGCCCCTATTTGTAAAGATTGAGTACGGTGAGGGGCAACTAGTTCACAGAAAGCCATTACATGAATAATGTAATTATGTAAATCACTTGGTATACATCAATAGGAAAGACAGGAAGAAAAAGTCTAGAGTTTAAACTCTGGAGTTGACCTATATAAGGGTTTTTATTTGTTTGCACTGCCAAAAGCAATTCACTTTTGTGTATATGACTTCAACCTTGCCTGTAATAAAGAATCTCATCTAGCAGAGTGGCATCTGGCAATCTTCTGCAAGTTCAATTGCTAAACAATGAATTAAGTCATGCCAAGCTCTGATATGAACCCTGATAGCTTGATTTACCATTTTTTACTTCTATCACTATGGGATGAGATTGTTCACCAAGACACCAGGGATTAAAATATATCTACAGACACTCATGCAACATTGTTAGTATTGCTCAAGTTGCCAGTACAGTATCCTGCTCTAGCATCAGAAACAAACGGTAACCCATATGGATTAGTTAGTACAGATGATGAATGAGTTAGCCAAATAGGGTGGGACCGAATCTGCTACAACCAGTGGTCCTCAAACCAGTCCTGGCCCAAGCAGCTGCTTCAACCTCAGACCACTGACACTGAGCACCAGCCCCTTAGCCTGACAAGTGTAATGGGAATCTAAGCAAATTTAATTTCTTTTCCATCTCAGATATAAATTATCTTGCTGTAGAAGGTGATTCTACTGTTTGAGTTAGTAATTGCTGTGTACACATTATGTCACACATTGAAAATGAAACTGCCTATTACATGCAAATAACTGTCCGTGTCATAAAAATTAAAACTGTTGAATCCATTTCTTTTTAAAAAAGTATTTCTCTACATAATAAAACTCTTAATGTAGGTCAAAGGCTGTGACAAGTGGCCATAGATTCCTGCCATTTCTTGGAAAAGGGATCATCTCCCATTTAATGCAACCCATAAAAATTGTAGAACTGAAGGCATCCTCATCTAACGTGGTAAAACATATTGTATAATAACCTATAACCAACAGTATTACGTCAAACATTTAGACTGGATTCACACATTACACTAAGCCACAGTGGTTCCCTAAACCATGGCCTATTCAAGAAAACATGATTATACAACCTATAGTTTAGTGTGATAGGGTTGTAGTAAACAGAGATGTATGAACTTCTTTCCATAAAATTCCTTAAAAAGAAAATTGAATTTACTTACTGCAGATTCTGATAATGTAAAAAGAGCAAAGAAACATGGATTGCTGTGATTGAGATGTTGGACTGAAACCAGAGAAACCCAGTTTCTAGTGCACTCTTCAGTCATGGAAGTTCATTGGGTGACTTTGGGCTGTCACTCTCTCTCAGCCCAGTCTATCTTACAGGCTTGTTGTTATGGAGAAAAATTGAGGAAGAAGTGCTATATATGCTACCTTGAGCTCCTGAATGAAAGGCAAGATATAAATCAGATAATAAATAAGTGGACTGATTTCCCCCCCCTACCTACTGCACAAAAGATACAATTACACAAATTGGTTTAATAATTTAAAGTAGATATTTTTTGTATATAATGGTAATTTTAGGCTGTGACATAAAGTGACAAATACATAGCCACACAGAGTTAAATAATGATCTGCACATCTGAATACTGATAACCTGAACTGATTTCTGCTACTGTCCAAAAATTCATACTAATTAAAAATTGATAGTAATCTGTGACTTTTGATTTTTACAACTTAATGCTTAATAATCATATTTAGCTAGCTCATTGTCAACAGCAAAAATATATCTAAACTGCAGTTCCAGAAACAAGATGCAGAGGTAGTATGGCAGTTCAGATACAGTAAAAATGGTTCTTTATCTGCTCATTGCTAAAAGACTGTCTATAGTACTTTTTATGTTTCCAAGCAGCTGCACTATAGATAAATGTGTTCATTCATATATATACATGTGCAGGTGGCGAACTCGAGACAAATGCGGAACCCATGCACAGAATGATGCTATTCTCTACATATTAGTTGCTGATGTAATTTTATTGTACCATTTACTGAATGTCTTCACTAATCAC